GAACAGCCTCTTCAGACAGACGGGAGAGCTCTATGCAAAGGTGGAGCCGTTCCAGCCCACGTTGGCAGCATTCATATCGAAGTAGTTGATGTAGACCCTGAAGATGAGGTACAAGAAGAAATACAATGATCTTATTAACTCATTTATATAAGCTGGGATAACATAATAGGGGAGAGTGCTTCCCATTCTTCTGCTTGAAAAAACAGCAAGCTTCATCTTTACCAAAAAAAACTGGTGGAGCCTCCAAACAGCCTCAGTACTTCTCAGTTCTCAAAACTGTACTTTTTCTCTTTTTTAAAAATACAAATTCTTATGCAGTCAGGGACTGTCCAGACACCAGACAGATTTTGTTTTGCAGCCTGTCAAGAATTTCCGGAGATCAGCCCCTTTTGTTTCTGAGCCCTGCAGGCCCTCACATGTGTCACACAGACTGGCAGCCTTGGGAGTTAAGCATGCCCTCAGGCCTGGCTCTGCTGTCTCCCTTCAACCCTGATGGCACCAGGTTCTTCCCATCCTTCACAGCTGCACATAGACACCGCTGAACTCTGCAGCCTGCAGGGGAGCTGCTCTCAGCCTGATGCCTTCTGCTTCTGTCTCAGCTCCAGCCTGTTACTGCTCCTTGCTCCTGCTTTCAGCCTTGCTTCCCCAGAGGGCAAGACATCACACCTCAGAGGCAAAAGACACACTGGGCAACTTGTCAGTGTTGTGGTGTTTTTCCTTACTCTCAGAAGCAGGAAGCCATTGAACAGGGGACTCTCCAGGGAAAGAGGCAGGCACTGAATTCTTACGTGGACGTGAAAGTGCTGCAAGTAATCACTTGGTGTTATGTGTAGTAGATATAATTTGCGCCATTTCTAATATGATATATGTGATATTGAATATTTGTTAGAGTGTACATGTTTGTATTAGGATTCCCCCCCCCCCACCCTCACAGGCGCAGGTGAGACCGGGTGTAGATTGGAAACTGATTTACAAGTAAGAAGGTACGGCTCGCCAGGAGATGGGCCATGGCTGGGGAGATACAGAAACCCCAGGTGCTGATCGTTAGCGTGAACGACCCGAGATGGATATCATGGAAATCCTGAGGCAGATACATGTGAGTACAGCGTTCCGTAAATTTCATCAAAGGATTCAACAAACTCCAGACAGTGATTTGTTCTCCCTCATCACCAAAAAAGAAAATCTTATTAACATATGGACTCTGAATAGAAGAAAAGACTGATTGCTGAAATCTTGGCCTCAGGCGGAATTTTCCCTATAAAAACCGCTTGTGCCAGGATGAAGGTGTGTGGGCATGGAGGAAAACCTCTGCTGAGGCTGACCTCTTTGTTGCACACCCAGGGCCGACCCCGGGCTCGGCTCTGTTCTTTCCTTGTGGCTGGCTAGATAAAATTTGATTGTAAAATAAATATTTTATTTTTTATATTAATTTGGCTGGACAAATTTTCATTTATAACACTTGGTATTTTCCAAAACACATGGATTTATTCCTGGCATTTTAATTTTTTTAAACAGACTTCTCAAAGCAGTTTCAGAAAGCCAGGTAAATATGGTTAAACCATGTCCCAGCCTTACCTGTCTGCAGATACATGCAAGTGCTTTGAGATCAGATCACACAGCATCTTGGTGTAAGTCTTGTTCTGCTGCCCTCCTATTTTGCCGATGCTGTAGAGGCTGCAGAGCGCACAGGGATCAGTGGAGCCACCAAAGGACATCATCTGGTCAGGTATGATGTGCACAGCTATGTACTGCGGGAGGGAAGCACTCTGTTACAGGCTGAACTGCCCTCTCCTGACGGAAATCTGCTTTAGGTACCAGCTCTTAACAGAGCAGTTGTATTGGGGTCCGGCAGCTCTTCAGTGCTGCCCCCTGCGCACTTCCCAGCCCCAGGGGAGGCTCAGGCCCGGCAGCCCCCATGGGGAGCACGGCCCGTGGGCTGCGGGGACCCTGGGCCCGGCTCTGAGCTTTAGGAACGCGGCTGTGTGTGCACGAAGCCGCCGGCGAGGCAGGCACTGCTGCCCGCCACAGTCTCGCCACCGCGCGGGGCGGAGCGAGATAAAGGCCCCAGAACTGCCTGCGTGCCAGGGCTCACATCCCAAATCACGGACCGCCGGAGAGCCGGGCAGCGATTCCGGCATATCGGCCTCCTGGCGCTGCCGCGGTCTGGCCCAGGAGGGGCTGTGTCCCACGGCTGAGCCGGCGGGAGCTGCTCGGAGCGCTCGGTCTGCCCGAGCCTCTGCCCGGGTGCAGCCGCGCCACTGCGCAGCTCCGCCGCTGGAATCGCGGCCGCCAGCACAGGCGCAGCACACCCCCGGCTCCGTGAGCGCCGCGCTCCCGCCGGCCCGGCTGCCGCTCCACGCAGGGGCCGGGCATCGGGACACTCGGCGCCGCGGCGTGGAACGGGCCCCAGCTCCTTCCCCCGGAGCAGCGGGGCCGCCGCCGCGCTGTGCGGCAGCCGCTCCCCCGGCGGCCGCGGCCCGCCCGCCCCGGGCCCGCGGGAGCGGAGATGGCCCCGGGCCGCTCCGCCGCCGCCCGGCCCGCCGCGCACGTGCTCGCCCCGCTCCCCGCCCTCACCTGCGCGGGCTTGCCGGTGGCCTTGGCCAGCTGCTGGGTGAGGTCGCCCAACAGGCTGTCGGGCACGGCGTCCTTGCAGACATTGGTGTAGATGGCGAACATGGGCATGGTGGCGGCGGTGGGGGTGGCGGGGCCGGCGATGGAAACCTAAGGGAGCGGCGGGACCGACACAGTGGAGCGAGGAGGCGTCAGCGGCGCTTTTAGTGCGCGAAGCCGCCCCGGACGTAAAGCGGCCCCGCCCGGCAGGCAGGGGAGGGAGCGGGGCGGGGACACTCGCTCACACCGGATTCCACGGTCCCCGCTGCGCCGTGCTGACTGCTCCCGGGGCTGTCTCTCCCCGCTCCGCCGTTAAACCTTGGCTTTGTTTCTATCACTGAACATTTTTTGAGGGTTTATTGCAGGCTCCTTCCTGGAACGGAGTCCGGGGGCGCTGGGCAGCTCATACATAACCTGGTATGAGCGCTGCGATAGTACCTCTGTGGCACTCCCACTGGTTTCTGCGGGATCCGGGCCAGAGAGGGATATAGGCCTTGGCTTGGCGGTTGCAAAAAGGGATACTTGCCCTGACTCCGAAAATTTTTTCTTTTTCAAAATAAAGTAACACTTGTAGTGATTTTGCTTGGTGGTGTGTACAGTTTTAGCTCGGTGTAAGCAGAAACGTGTGCCTTGCTGCCTATTAATTATTATCTAATGTATTTCAGTCGAATTAAAAGTTACCTATTGCTCCTCAGCCTCCCCATTTCCACATCATATTTTTCTACTGGAAAAAGGCAGAAGTGAATTTCGTTTTGCTTCGGAATGAACTGGTGCGTGCCTATTGGGAGGTGAGAGGCAGCAGAGCCGAGCCGCATGCTGCGCTGTGTGATGTGATGCACGTAGGCTGCCAGGGCATGGCTCCTCACCCTGGCTCTTGCCTGCCCCGACGGCAGAGCTGCTGCTCTGCTCACGAAATGACTCACAGGAAGGCTAAATAGGATCTGGCCCGGAGCCCTCTCTGCCCAGACACTGCACACACAGCAGTCGTGCACTGCTGCTGCTAGAAAGCTTGCCCACACATCCATGTTACAGATGTGAACACTCATAGCCCTGAATGAGGAGTCAGGGATGGTGCTGCTAGAAAGCTTGCCCACACATCCATGTTACAATGTGAACACTCACAGCCCTGAATGAGGAGTCAGGGATGGTGTCATACGGGAGTGCATTGGAGTGACATGGGTTATAATGCTGAGAACTGGAGCGCTTCCTTTTCTAGTGATTAACAGTGCTTAAGAACAGCCACTAAGAACTGATTAAGTTTCCCCCCTTTGATATCCTCAGCTCCCTGCTGTTGCATAGTCCTACTTATTCCTCTCACCTTCCTGCCTCCCAGGTTTGTTGCGTGGAGGTGGTGTGGGAATTCTACCTGTGCAGGGAGAAAAGCTTGAGAGCAACTTCACAACTGGTGTGCTTGCCCTGTGGCCTGCCAGCCCAGAGTGGCAGCCCTGAGTGCCACTCAATGGAGAGACATTTGCAATTTCATTCTCTTTTGCCTCACTGACTAAGAAAGACGTTTTCACCAAAGCAGCTTCCATTTGTTATCCCAACAAAGCATTTTTGCTGATTGAGGTTCAGGTCTGTATTTAAAGTCTCTGGCTGCAAAGCAAAGCTGTGGTAGGGACACAATGGGATGTTAACAATAGAGTTCAGAAAAGGGGTGTGATAAGGGTTGCTCTTCCAGAAAAAACTCACAATACACTTAACTATAGAATTTCAGGAAACATCTCTACTCAATCTTTTATTTTACTTTGGAAGCAAATGATCTTGTCTGACCAAGGGCTTAAATAATAAATATTTGTATGCAAATTTTCCTTTCATAATTAATTCACCACTTCAGTCCCTGGGAATTACTGTGGCTTGCTGTGCCTCTGCCTCATTCTGAGCTGTGCTCTAATCTTCACTGTCACTACAAATTGTTCAATGGATGAAAAGGGGAGGGCACAGCAGCGAACAGTGTTTTTTTCCACTCACTCCCTCTGCCTGTGCTGAGGCCTGGGAGACACAGCACAAGTTTTCCTGCTACTCAGCTAGATATCCCTGTAGTGTTAGGCCTAAAGAGGACCTGGACTGCAATCAATTCCTTTTAAATAAGAGATAACAATGTTATCTCTCCTTTTGAAGGGAGGTCTATGTGCAACATTTGCACATCTATTAACTTAAATATATCTTGAAACCAGGTCAAGATATATTTATTTCTTCTTGAGATTTGTCTCTTGAGCATGGACAGGACAAAGGCAAAAGGAGTGTTCATATATGACTGAAGTTTTTTTGAAAGAAAAGCTTCTCTTAGAGTATTTTGAGAAGGCACCCTCCATCTCAACTACAGTTCTTCCCAGCATAACAAGAAGGTTTCAGACATAAGATTTTTGATGCATTTTTATTTAAGCAGCAGGTAAGATATTAAACAGCAGTGAGTAGCAGCAATTAAGATACCAATGCCTTTTGCATTTGGCAGATGCCAGAAGGTGACTGGAACTGCAGTTCTCAAACCATGGTGAGGGTTCAGGAATAAGCCGTGATCGATCACCTAGGGGCACCTCAAGCAAAGGTGGTGTTATTCCAGCCCACATTGCCAGGACTGATGTCAAAGAAGCTGATGAAGGTTCTGGAAGGGAAGACAGGGGCCATTAACAGCTGAGAGCAGAGTGCTGCAGGCTGGTCAGGGTGTTCCTGCACCAGGACACATGGCCACGATGCAGATCTCCCCACGGGCTTTATCCTTCCAAGGCCTTACACTCCTTTCCTCCTGCCCCTTTTAATGCCTCATCTACTTGCATCCTGGAGTTCCTAGTGATCACGTTCTTGTGTCTGTACCTGGTCTTTTGCACATGATATCTGTGGGTGCATACATGCCTGAACCTACATCATTTTAACCAAGGAATTCTGCAGCTTTTGAACATTGGCATTGCAGCTCATGCAATGGCTCATTTTTTTCTTTTTAGCTGGGGAGTTGCTCAGTTGACTTGGCATTTAATCTCTTTAATCAGCACATTAATAGGGAACACCAAAGGACCAGCCTGGGATGAATAGTTTTAACAGTCTGTGGAAAGTCATGTCAGACAAATTGCCGTATGAGCTCACCTGTCAAATGGTATTTTCAGCTGTTTGCTCATCAGATCACAAAGCAGTCTGGACCAGACCTTGTTCTCCTGCTCCTCTATCTTTCCAATGCTGTAAAGAAAGCACATAGCACAAGGGTCTGTGGAGCCACCAAAGGACATCACTTGATCAGGAGAGATCTGCTAAATACTGTTGGAAGAAGAAAATGAATGTTATTTTCTTTGCTGTATTAAGAAAAGTTTTGAAAATCCAGGAAGGCATTTATATACTTAAACCGCAGTGAAAATAAGTGCATGCAAGGCTTAAATTTGTTGACATCTTACTGTCTAGATTTGCATTCTACTCCAAGATACTCACTCCTGTGTCAAAAGCCAGTACAAAGACTCCACAGTTTTTAGGCTTCCTAGTCCAATGCTCCAGGAGCTCAGTGACCTGTAATATCTGCAGCACCTCCTCCAAGCCACCAGGCTCTCCCTGCCTGTGTGGGAAGGTCAGGGGCGAGGGGGTGTGCAATGGTCCTGCTGCCGCATTGCGTTCCAGAGAGATTTCGCACCTCACTGGCTCCTGCTGCAGTCTTCCCTGCTGAGGTAAATGTGAGCTGACACAGCAAAGGCCTAAATCAGCATCCACCTCGTTAAACAAAATACGGCCTAATCCTGCTTTTGTTCTTGATATCAGGAAAACAGAAGAAAGTATCTATGTTAACATTAATGACCTGCCCACGATTTTCCCTGCTGCTAATACACAGTGTCAGATCCACACACTGGGGAATCTGGGGATCAGTTCCTCTGGCATTCATCTGGCTTCTGTGCTGTTCTTACCCACGTTTATTAGCAGCGCATCGTTGGAACTCAGCAGCAATTAACCCTCTTGGTAAAACAAGCTAGCCTGAGTACCAGGAGTTGTCTGGGTAATTAGTTTTGGCCATCATTTACAGTTTGTTTGGGTGTAAGGTGCATCGGACCACAGCAGTACAGGATAAGCCAAGGAGATCCTGCTGAGGCACCACTTGCTTGGCCCTGTTCTCCCCTGTCTGGACACCACGTGCTCTTGACTTGATGCCAAACTTAGGCACATGCATGCCTTTAACTCCTACCCAGGAAGCAGGTTATCACTATTAAAAGAAAAATAAAGTTGAGGCATTAATCAGCATGATTTTCTTCTTAGAGCAGTTTGAAAATATTTGGAACCATTCTTCCAGTAGGAAAAAACTCAATTTGATTAAAAATCTGTATTTTTCCCAAATGGTAGTTTCCTGTGAGAGGAAAGCTCTGCATTCCAGCCCACCCTAATCCTTTCCTTCTTTCTGTGTTATAACTAAGAGACTCTCCCTTTCCTATTGCCTCCTTTGTCACGAAGAGCTTGTATGTCCTCTTCAGAGAAATCTCTTTGTTATTCCCTGTATATTTCTAAGTCCCATTACATATCCCTTCCACACAGCTGCACAAACCTGTTCCAGCTGTATCCCAGCCCTGGCCTCTAGCTTTATATTCAGAAGCTGTTATGAAAGACACACCCCTTGCCCCCCCCCAACAGCAAATACTTGTTTGCTAGACTGATAAAAACTGGCTTTTTTAAAGGGGGATAAAACACATCAGTTTTACATAAGAATTCAATGTGTTCAGGTGTCCCAGTGCATTGAGAAAGGTTTGCTGGGGAGCCCTCAGAGCCCTTTCTATAGGTACCAAAACTTCTGTCTTTCTACAGTTTCAAAGCATCACTCCCAAAGCAAAATAAACGTTTTCTGGAAATGGGCTGTGAGTATGCAGAAAGGGTGCTTAAACAAGTGGCTACAGATCCATAGCCAATTCACTAAAGCTACTGCTGCTACAGCAACTGAGGTACTGCTCATGTTATGAAGTTTACAGCTCAGTAGAGAAGTTTTCTTTCGCTTTTTCATGTTCTACAACCTTCAGTACAATTGAAACAGTGACTAGTGACCAGTTGGTATTAAGAAAATAACAGTCTTGTAAATCCCTATAAGACCCTCAATACCAGTATTTCAGGACTTCCCTTCAGTAACATATGCCATATCATTTTGGCAAGTAAAACCCCTCCAGTTTGGTAGTGAAACCAGCAGGCAGCTTTTACTCTGGTATTTTGACTCAAATAGCAGGATGCCACACAGATATTTTTGCCAGATGTCCAAGCAAGCTGAATAAATAATTTTTGTACTTCAACTGTAACCACTAGGCTACAGGCAGTTAGGTGGCAAATGACAGGCACTTAACAGGACTCAGCAAGGAAGTGGAGGGTGAGGTTTGCTTTTCAGTCAGCCAGATTCTTGAGAGGTATTCACAGGTTCCTGTGAATCCCCACATACACCCAGAGTCTTCACATACAGATAACTACATGCAGTAACATCCTACACAAAGCTAGGTGAATACTCCAGGTTTTGAGATCTCAAGGAAACTAAGTTACGGTGAACAAGTATTTGATATTCTCCCAGAGAGAAGACTGCAAATACTGGTGAGTCATTAGCTATATCAGTTTATCAAGGCTATCACTCAGAAACAGCTCATTGCACAGGCACAGCTGAACTAAAGAAGGAAAACATTTCAGGAAATGGACTTACCTGTGCTGGTTTGCCCAATGCTTTTGATAATTGTTGGGTGAGCTCCCCTGCAAAAGATTCCAGAAGTTTATCCTTGCTTATATTTGTGTTTGTAGTGAATTTAGGCATCTTTGGATGATGAGCAGGTTTTTTTTTCAGCTCAGCTTTATTTCTAACTCACCCACAAGCTGGCTCAGCCCTGTGTGCCAGTAAGGACCTCAGGAGCCTCTGAACAGTCAGTGATACCTTCAGCAGGTGCATTGAGAGGGATTAGAGTGTCTCAGGAAAGGTGAGGCTGAATGTGCCTGAATCTGCAGGCTGCTAACACAGACAGCCAGTGGCCTGGCCTGGGAGGGAACCCAGCTTTTGCACTCTGGAACCAAAGCATCCAAAATGACCCCTCATGTTTGGATACAGCCCAATCATGAAACCAGTGGAAAAGCAAGTGTTTCAGAGACTGAGCGTAGGTTGTAATGCACCTCTTTATGAAAGCCTAGTAATTGTTTTTTAAAAATTGGGTGAATTATTCAGTTGTGAGGTCTGAAACTTTCTCTGTGGAATAGACCATAACAAAAAACCCCAGTGACACGTGTTGTGCAGACCTTTCCTGAACCATGACTAAGTCACCACAAAGATGCCTTAAAATCGGAGTCTTGATTTTCTGCTGTGGTGATGGATTCTATGTGCTCAGAGAAGGCTTGTTTTCAACTTGCTCCTTTGTTGTGCAAATAGTTCCATGACAGTCATAACTCCTGAGAGATAGGAAATCCACAGGCTTCCTGACATGAGCAGCTTTTATCCAGACTGGGGCTCGTATGTGACAAGGCTGGGATCAGTTCTCACTGCTGCCTAGAAGAGCCTTACATGAGAGAAGTGGTTTAGGGGGATCACAGGGCATTTGGTAGAGGGTGTTCACAGTGAGATGTGTGGGGAAAGCAGGTTGAAAATGCTGATGGGGATAAAATAAATGGGTTGACCATCTCTCCATGTTAAAAGTGGTGGGTGTCTTTATGTCCAGTAGTTTCTGAGTTAAGGAAACTTTTCACTTCATTTTCTCCAGGCTTTCTCTAGCTTGCACTAAATGATTGTTTTAATTGTTGTAATTGAAGTAAACACTTTTAATTTGTGAAAACTTCAGTATGAATGTGCTGAAGCTGATTGTGTTCAAGGTCAGATTGATTGGGCCCTGAGCAACCTGACCTAAATGGTGGCATCCCTGCCACCCCCATGGCAGGGGGTGGAACTAGATGATCTTTAAGATCCCTTCCAACCCATTCCTTTCTATGATTGTGTGGTGTATGTTGATTTTAAGTTAGTTCCTTCACTCTAGCACCCTTGCTGTAAAAAGTCAGCAAATAAAAAGTCAGGAGATGAAAATATCCATGTCAATGTTCATTTACAGCCCACGTTTGTGGATTGTGTTTCCTGTATGCATTCTGAAAATAATGAAAACCCTAAAAAAAAAAAAACAAAAAACAAAAAACAACTGAGAAATAAAATCTGGTTTACAAAAAACCTTTTCAGGGTATATTTCCTAAGCCAAAGTGTTACAAAAAACCACAAGTGACACCTTCATCTGTGAGGAGCTGTAGTTTGTAATATCGATTCGTTTTTTCTTCAGTGGTTAGAGGAAGGCAGGTGGCATGATCCAAAGTGTTTAGTTATAAGGCACCCTATACTTGGTATTGGTCACTTGGAAAAACTTAGACTATTTCCAATGAACTTCACAACCTATTTTTACTGCTGGGTACAATAATCGGTTGTTATTCCCAGCTTGCTTACATAACAAGAAAAACATTTCCAAAACAAACTCTTTCTTCTGTGAAAACATCTGATGTAATTCCCAGAAGTTGATGCACCAGGTTGAAAATCAGTTCCTTAGACACCAGAGATGCTCTCCAGAGCCTGCTTTATTTTATAGCAGCCATTTTACTTCTTTTGCATGCAAGAATATCTCAGTTTAGCAGGTCCTTCTTCCTGCCTAGAGTTACTGGAATGTTTTCCACTGAGATTTCCATTACATCTCCAGGACTGGTGCACAGCAAATTTCACTTTCAATACTTTTTTCTGTTGTTGTGCTGAAACCTCTTTTCCTAATTTGAGGTGTTAATTTTTAGTCTGTATTGTCTTGGGTCACCCTAAACTGTGTGTTTAGCTTTCCCTCTGCATGCCTGTCAGCCAAATACTTTAGACTTCTATGCTTCTCCAGCCTCATGATTGTTGGTTATTGAACTTTCCTAATAACTCTTTACCTTGGTTCATCTTCTTAAAATAGTTCACTTGTTCCTTTGTATTTCTGATACTCTTCTCTGCACTGTTTGCCAGCAGGTTCCTGCTTATGAGATACTTAGTGTTACTCTAGAATAATGAGTTTCATATCTATCTTAAAAAAGAAAAAAACAAATGAGACAGAAGACCTTGCAGGCTGTTTTTAATGTTTCCTTTTTAGTTCTGTTGCAACATTATTTCCTGTCTTTTCTTAGAGATGCAAATTTCTTCTCTAAATATTCAGAGTTTGGTGCAAGGCAACTGTTCCTTAGGAAAGTTATTTTCAGAGGTTTCTTTTTTCCCAAAGTTCAGCTTGTTGAATTCTGCTTTTATTTCCATTATTGACTTTCCCTTGGTCTCAGGAAGATACAGGTAGATGAAAATTGCTGATAAAGCAAGGGTTCCCAAAAAGATAAGGAAGCAGAAGGGTCCAAGATTATCCTGCAGGCAGAAAAGCAAGACAATGTAAAGAAAATAAGAAACTTATTTCTATTTCCCTGCCCTTTAGTGCAAGCCTGTGTCTTAGAAGTTCAAATTCAAAGGTGTGCTCAATACACAGTCCAGGACAGGTACCAAACCAGGAGTTCCCACTGGCCATGTTTGACCTGAGTCCAATTGCTGCTCCTGGGGAATTTCTGAGCAGGTTTGGTGTTTGGACTGAGTGCTAAGCTTTGCATGTCATTGCAATTTATTGTTATTATTTTGCCCCTTGTTGGCATTCAGAAATACATTCGCCTGGAAAGAGGGATTCTCTGAGAGTCACTTACAACAATTACTGGAAAAATCATCCCAAGTACAAACAGTCCCATCCAGTTGATGCAGCCAACAATCAGAAAGGCTGATGGTCTGTATGACTGGCTGAAGATTTCAACCATCACAGATATGGTGGCTCCAGCTGGAAAAGCAAAGCCAAACACACACCAGGTTTATTTATTTCCTTGCTTCTGCTGAAGCTCCTCCCAGTGGCAGAGAGGCCAGACAGGCAGAATAGGTCACCTGCTGGCAGATGGCCTCAGTGAGGGTGAAAGACCTTGATTCCAGAAATGGAATCCAGCAGTTAATTTAGGTTCCTCTTGTATGTACTGAATCGTTTTTCGGGTATCAGTGGATCTGTGCAGTTCCATATTGCACTGGCAGTTGTTACTGGTGCAGGGTTTATAAAACCAGCCTCCCTTTTGGCTCTTGTGGCCACTTCCACCTGGAGCATGTTGGGAGGCATGAGTTTAACTTGTTAAGTTATTGAAGATGATTACTAAAACATACCTGGCTATGTCTAGAAGCCTGTTTTTAGCTGATTAATTTAGAAATTGTTTTGAAATTTCTATCTCACACCCTCTGGAGAAGATGATACTGTTTTAAATTATTTAGATCATGTGATCAGCAATAAAATTTGAGGTGTCTGCATCCTTTTCTGGTCTCCCACTGGTATGTGTCTGCCCTTCCCTCCATAATTTCCAGAACTTTTTAGCAAGACACCAGCCTGTTCTTCCTCTGCCAGTTGTGTTGCCAACCAATACAACACCAAATTTCCTCCCAGCATAACCACTGATGTACTCACATGGTCCAATTCCAAAGAAGACCACGAACAGGAAGATCAAGATAACACTGAAGTAATGCATCCAGAAAAAACGATGCTAAAAGTGAGAAACCAGTGATACCAAACCATTAGCCACAGGACAGAATAGCAGAGCTCTGTATTTCCTGCCACTGGCTGAAGTTTTATACATCTCCTGCAAGTTAAGAGCAGAAAGGGGGCTGGGGAAGTGGCCAGGAGGCTGCTGCCTCTTTACCTGCAGTGACAGGGTCATGGTGAGCAGCGCCAGCACAGAACACATCAGCAAATATCCACCCCAGAGCAGCACCTTCCGCCCAAACCGGTCTATAAGGGTGCTCTGGAAAGCAGAAAACATGGCTCACAAACCCCAGTCCTCAAAGGAAATAATTCCTCCTCTCTCCATGTGTTCTGTGCAGAAGACTTGTCTAAATAATAGCCAGTGTCATTTGACAGTCTCTTAGTTCCTAATGAATTTGATTAGTTTCTTCAAAACAAATTAATTATTAATTAAGCTGTGTTTATTAGTCAATCCTAAGCTGTTTTTAGACAGTTCCCTCTTTTGCATGCTGGCATATGTCAAACTGTCCACATGTATGTACACACATCTAATCCAGGACATCAGAAGATTATTATTTTGCAGAAAAAAGTGAGTCTAAAGAAACACACTCGTGCAAATAATTCGGGGGAAAAACTTCTTTGTATCCTGCCTGTGGTTTTGCAGAAGCAGGAAGATGTGGCTTAGGTTATGCAAAATTTCCCTGAGCCCAGTTATAAGAAAGGAAAGGCACAGTTGTTGACCACATTAAATTTTTCCTTCAAACTCAAATCTGAAAAGACTTACACACAGTATGGTGGATAAGCACTCACACAGCCCAACTCCCAGGGACACGTATGGGATAAGGTATTCTTCAAACTTGGCTGTATGGAATACTTCAAAAGAATAGAAGTAGATCTGAAAAACGCAGAGAGGAAATTAATCTGTGAAAAAAGGTGTTGCATTTGAGATACAATTCTAAGCTGGTTTATTAACATTGTCTTTCAGAAGTTTGTTATGCTGCCTCTCTTGTCCTGGGGATAAAGAGAGCACTCAACTGCATTTATTCCACAGAGCTGCAGTGTGGTCATGACAATCATCAAAATGTAGAGCTGCCAGCGCAAAGATCGCTCTTTTATCACTTCCAGGACACGCAAGGTTTTCGTGCTGGCCACTGCACCCTTCTCCTTCATAATGTCATCAATTTCTGCTTGGTAGTCTCCATCCCCCCAGAGCTTCCTGATGGCTGTAAGGGAGAAAGAAGGAAGTGGA